CTCTCTCCCTGTCTCTCTCTCTCTCTCCGTCTCTCTCCCTTTCTCCCTCCCTTCCCCCTCCCTTTCTCTCTCTCTCCCTGCCTTCTCCCTCCCTCTCTCTCTTTCTTCTCTCTTTCTCCTCTTTCTCTCTCTGTCTCTCCATCAGACTATTTAATCAGTAGTTTTGCTTCACCCTGCATTTTCTCCCATCTTCTCTAGAATTCCTGTGTCCTGTAAACCCAGCTAAGCTTTCCGAAAGCTCTCTGCACTTGGCTCACGTACCCTTTCTGCCTGTGGACAAGGTAGAGCCCTGGCTCTAGCAAAGTCTGCGGTGTATTCATTTTATTTCTGCTCAGCACTTTATGAAAATGAGGCCTCTATTTCAAGAGGCATTCTTAGCATTTAGAAGACGTTGAAATAGAGCCATTAAATAAGTACTTTTCTATGCACTCTGACATTAAAAGCAATAATAAAAACCATTTACCTTAGAGAAATGCACAACATTTTAATTTTTTTTTACACAATTTTGGTGCTGGTAGATGCTCTTTAGCAGTGAGATTGTAAATACTGTTATGCTCTAAGCCTGTTGCATACTGCCATTTATTACAGCTAGATTCGCCTAAGCCTAAAATGTAACTGTAGATTGGCAGGCTGTTTAGAATACCAATTAGATCATCTCTGTGGAGCTGGCAGCTCCGTCCTATTTGTGTGATGATAACTTCTTCATATTAAGTTTGATTTCAGTATTCTAAGGTGATTTTTTTAATATTGCTTGATCAGCTCATTCTATTAACGTCAACAATAACCAAATCTACTTCAGTCCCCAAAGCTGACCAAGGCTGCTATTTAATTAGACGCTTTCCTAAATCGGGCTTAATATTTAATAACTTTGTGAACTGAACTGTTGTGCTTATAGCTTAAATGTCACTCTTCCTGGCTCATTGAGCTCTTTGAATAAACAGACAAGTTGTCCTTGTCAAGTATCATGGCTAGAAATTCTGCTTTTCTAAGGGAGAACCAATGTCAGCCAAGGAAATGGGACTTTCTGTCTGTAAACGTGTGTTGCTGTATGAAAGAGATGTAAATGTGACCGTAAAAATTATTTTTTAGGAAATGGAAAGTCTAAAACTCTCTAGCACAAACCTATTCTTAGCCCATTTCTCTGCTTAAGGACTTGCCTGACACAGTGGAAAAAAAATCGCTGCTACCCTTTTTCCCCTCTTTTCCCTTCCTGTTTTCTTCAAACAGCATCATAGTTCCAGTTCAGTTACAGAAGGAGCAGTGCCACTTCAATGCAAAGCAGGAGAGTTCTGCTTATTTGTGCTCCTGGCAGATATTTCGGATGTTTCTCTCTCTTTCATTTACCTCTATCCGTTTCCCTGAGGTTTTCCTACTCCCTTGGATTGGCTAAAACGAAGGGGTAACGGTGGAAGAAAGTCCTGAAAGCTTTTGTGGCGTTTGGCTGCCATGGGAGAGGCACTTATCAGACATAGCAAGTCTCTCTAGCCCCAGTGACCATCTGCCATTGCCAAGGCACAGCCTTCGCAATGCTGGAGGAGCCCCAGAAAAGGCATTAATGCACAGCAAAGTAATGTCATTTCAGAGCTCGGGGAACAACTAGCTTTTGTCATGCTCCAAGGCAACTGGAAAGCGGTCTTTGCAGATGTGAAATGTCCTCCTCTTCATAGATGTCTCTGCACAGAGTGGTGGGAGGAGGTTACCAGACAAATCAGCAGTCTGTACAAAGTGCTGTTCTGCCACTGGAGTTTTCTGGTGCCAGGGAAGAACCCCTGCGACGACAGGGGACTGATTAGTGGTAGTGTATGCAACGGTTCCTTCTGGGTCGAGCTGCGGGCAGCATCCCCGGGAAACATACGGTCGGTAGCTGCTGCGGTTTTATCCTAGGTGGATATTGGTATTGGGATCGCATACTTTGCTAATCCAGTTGTAAATTGGAGTAAGCTGTTTTGCATTCAGCAACCCTGTGGCAGTTGGTTCTTCGGGATAACTGTTAGTTACTATAAAATACTAAATCTGTTGCCTTTTTCATTGTGAGTATCTGTTTTTGTTTTGGAAGAATGAGGTAATATGATCCCTATATGTTCGCTATATATATATTTTTTAATATATAGGGATATATGCGCATACATATATAGGAAATAAACTGGTTTAATTTGGGGGGGGGGGGGGGGTGGTTTTTTTTTAGTTTCCAAGTGGCTCTAGACTTCTGTAAAGCCTTCCTTTGCTGGGACCTCTTCCTTCCCCTGTCCAATTATTTTGATGCCAAAATTATTATCGGTCCTTTCTGTGCCTCCTGTGTATCACTTTTGATGAGGTGATCAAGTTCAAGAGTCCAAGTACAGGGTCCAAAATGTGGATGCACCGTTGATTTATGCAATGGCACTGTAAAAGATTATTCTTTCCCTTTTTGCTTCCTTCTAAAAACTTCTCTCTCGTAATGAATACTGAACTGACTGTCTTGATGGATAGTCACCTCCCCTGATTTCTATTTTGAGCGATTTAAAAGTTTAATCAGTAGGAAATTTTAAATTACATTTTCCAATAATGTATTGTCCATGCTGAATTTTATTTTGTGAATTGCTGTGGCTCATCCCTATA